CCTCCACCAACTCTTCCACATCATCCCCACTAACCTCCAACCCCAAGGACTTTCCCAATGCCATGATGGATTCCTCAACTGGCATAGGATTCCCAGGGTTAGCCTCAAACCCTTCAAAATCCCTTTGGTCTACACATTCTGGCCACAGTTTTTTCCAAGCAGAGTTCAAGGTCCTCTTAGTCACTCCCTCCCAAGCCTTACCTATAAGGTTTACACAATTGAGGATATTAAAGTGCTCTCTCCAAAACTCTCTTAGAGTCAGTTGAGTTTCTGAGGTCACTACAAAGCACCTTTCAAAAAGAGCTTTTGTGTACAGTTTTTTGAAGTTTGCAATAACCTGCTGGTCCATGGGCTGCAGAAGAGGAGTGGTATTAGGAGGCAAAAACTTCACCTTAATGAAGCTCATGTCCCCATAAAGTTGCTCTGCCACGTCTGTAGGATGACCAGGGGCATTGTCTAACACCAGGAGGCATTTAAGGTCTAATTTCTTTTCAGTTAGGTAATTTTTCACATTGGGGGCAAATACTTGGTGTAACCAGTCATAGAAAAAGTCCCTAGTGACCCATGCCTTACTGTTTGCCCTCCACAGCACACACAAATTAGCCTTGAGGATTTTCTTTTGCCTGAACGCTCTGGGAGTTTCTGAGTGATACACTAATAAAGGCTTCACTTTGCAATCACCACTAGCATTGCAACACATCAACAGAGTAAGCCTGTCTTTCATAGGCTTATGTCCTGGGAGTGCCTTTTCCTCCTGAGTAATGTAGGTCCTGCTTGGCATTTTCTTCCAAAACAGGCCTGTTTCATCACAATTAAACACTTTTTCAGGTTTCAGTCCTTCACTGTCTATGTACTCCTTGAATTCCTGCACATATTTTTCAGCTGCTTTGTGGTCCGAACTGGCAGCCTCACCATGCCTTATCACACTATGTATGCCACTACGCTTCTTAAATCTCTCAAACCAACCTTTGCTGGGCCCTTTAAAATTTACTCACATCATCACTAGTTGCAGGCATTTTTTTAATTAAATCCTCATGCAACTTCCTAGCCTTTTCACTTATGATCACTTGAGAGATGCTATCTCCTGCTATCTGTTTTTCATTTATCCACACCAATGAGTCTCTCAACATCTTCCATCACTTGCAATCTCTGTTTCGAAAACATAGTTAAACCTTTGGCAAGAACAGCTTCCTTGATTGCTGTTTTCTTGGACACAATAGTAGCGATGGTTGATTGGGGTTTACTGTACAACCTGGCCAGCTCGGACACACGCACTCCACTTTCATACTTAACAATGATCTCTTTCTTCATCTCTATAGTAATTCTCACCCTTATTCCTGTAGGGTTGGCACTAGAAGCTTTCTTGGGGCCCATGGTCACTTATTTTGCAGATAAAATCACCAAAAACACTGTAATAATACGAAATGTTCCGATTGTATGCTTGGATGTTACCGCGGAGGCTGGGTGGTAAACAATGCCACTGGCGGAACATGTGAGGCTGGCTCAGGCCGCACATTAGACGCGTCTCGGACGAATAGCATTGAGCGGGTTTTTTAGCGGTATGCGAGGCAAAATCTTAGCGATAAAATGTATCGGTATGCGGATTTAACGTTATGTGATGCCAACGGTATGCGGGGGTCCACTGTACTTTCAAATGTTGAAAAAACATAGATCTACGTTTGGACAGTTTAAGGGTTAATCATGTCATTACGAGTTCATAGGTCAGTTAACCCGTAAACGGTCCAAACATATATATATACGTTCTCTCCCGTAGTGCTCCAAATTTTTTGAGAAAAAAAAATCGTTGTTTTTTAATAGGGAAAAAGAGCATATGGTACCCAGGCATCCCCAATTATTTTCATATGGCGCACAGTGAGTGCGCACACGCATTCTCTCATGTCTAGGTGACTCAGACTTATCGTGGCAATGTTGAATGTATGACAAATAAAACGTATATATACGTTTGGGGCACTAGCGGTAAAAACATATACAGTGGTCTCTCGTTTATTGTAGTTAATCCGTTCCTGGAGTTGCTACTATTATCGAAATCTACGATTTTTGAACAATTTTCCCCCTAAGGAATAATGTAAATACAATTAATCCATTCCTGACACCCAGAAGTATTAAAACAAAAATTTTTTTTACATGAAATATAGATGTAGTACATAAACAATACAATGGGAAATGATGAATGAAATATTAACAGCATAACACTTACCTTTATTGGAGATTCTTCTTAGTGTATGGGAGACTGGAGGAGGAGAGATTGGATTGTTTACAGTTTGGAAGGGGAATCCCCTTCCAGCAACACCTCGGGTACCAATTGCTTTTCTGGGGTTGCTTCTCTTCTCTGTTTCTTAATGCCACTAGGACCAGCTTGAGAGTCACTGGAGTCCTGTCTTGCAAAATAACTGTGGAGAGAGCTCTGTTTCTGGCATCTCTTTAACACTTCCCTAAAATTGCCAAGACTTTGCCACTGTACATGTTGCCAACATGGCTTGCAACAGCCTTGTCAGGGTGATGTTTCTCCATAAATCTTTCCATCTTACCCCACATAGCAAAAATCTCTTTAATTTCTGACGAAGGCACCTTCTTCCATCTCTCTTCCTCCTCCTCCTCTGCAGCAAGATTCTGAGCTGCAGTCTGTTGCTGTTCCTGCTGAAGCTCTTGCAGCTCCTCAGTGGTGAGCTCTTCGTTGTGGTCTTCCACCAACTCTTCCACATTCTTCAAACTCACATCCAACCCCATGGAACTCCCCAGTGCCACAATTGATTTAACAACAGACATAGGCTCATCAGGGTCAGTCCCAAACCCTTCAAAATCCCTCTTGTCGACACAATCTGGCCACAATTTTCTCCAAGCAGAGTTCAAAGTCCTGGTAGTCACTCCCTCCCAAGCCGTACCTATAAGAGTTATGCAATGGAGGATGCTGAAGTGTTCTCTCCAAAATTCTCTTAGGGTCAAGTGAGTGTCTGTGGTCACAGTCAAGCACCTTTGAAACATTGCTTTGATGTAGAGTTTTTTAAAGTTTGCAATGACCTGCTGGTCCATGGGCTGGAGGAGAGGAGTGGTATTCGGGGGCAAGAACTTTACTGTGATGAACCCAAACTCCTCGAAAATTAGGTCATCCAAGTTTGGAGGATGAGCTGGTGCATTGTCCATTACTAGGAGGCACTTGAGATCCAATTTCTTTTCAGGAGGTAATTCTTCACACTAGGGCCAAACACTTCATTGAACCACTTGACGAAAATTTCCCTCGTGACCCATGCCTTACTATTGGATTTCCAAAACACATACAATTTACTCTTCATAACATTGTTTTTCCTGAACACTCTGGGATTTTCAGAATGGTACACTAGTAATGACTTCACTTTGAAATCCCGACTAGCATTAGCACAGAACATGAGCATCAGCCTGTCTTTCATAGGCTTGTGCCCTGGCATTGCCTTTTCCTCCTGTGTAATGAAGGTCCTCTTTGGCATTTTCTTCCAAAAGAGGCCTGTTTCGTCACAACTGAACACTTGTTCAGGTTTCAGTCCTTCAGCCTCTATGTACTCCTGGAATTCATGCACATATTTTTCAGCCGCTTTGTGGTCCGAACTGGCAGCCTTACCATGCCTTACCAGACTGTGTATGCCACTACAGTTCTTAAATCTCTCAAACCATCCTTTGCTGGCCTTAAATTCACAAATATCAGTACTCGTTGCAGGCAATTTCTTTACCAGAGTGTTGTGCAACTTTTTTAGTTTAATATGTTTATTATGCACCCCATACCCATCCTGTGGGCGGTAGTCAAAAGATTACAGAGGTACATAATTGGTCCAGGGACTGGACTCCAAAGTTTTGATAGCTGAGCAAGTTACAAAGGTAATGAACTAGATCTGGTCATAATCATGACCAAGTTACAAAGGTAATGAGCTCCGGGTAGAGCTGGTCACACTCATGAATAATTGCAAAGGTAATGAATCATAAACACATTAATCATGAGAATTTACAAAGGTAATGAGCTCCAGGTAGAGCTGGTCACAATCATGACAAGTTTCAAAGGTAATGAGTGATAAACACGTTATCACATGATTACAATCATAGACAAATTACAGAGTAATGAGCAGTAAACAAACATAGCAGGGAATTCATCCATTGCCCCAACAACAGATGTTGCTAGGTGCCTGTCTCTCCTCGGTAGACAGCCATTGCAAACAGCAGCAAGTTGCCCTGGGATCTGCTGCTTGCACGAGCACCATCGACCCTCCCCAAGAGGTCCAAGAAGCCAGTGACTCCGTTAGCAGCCCGATGAAGAGCTCAACTGCCTAGCCTTTTCACAAATAATCAAAGTCATAAGAGTATCTCCTGCTAATTGTTTCTCGTTTATCCACACCAATAATAACTTCTCAACATCTTCGAGTACTGGTGATCTCATTTTTGTCAGCATATTTACCCCCTTTGCAACAACAGCATCTTTGATTTCCTCTTTCTTGGCCACTATGGAACATATGGTTGTGTAGGGTTTCTTATACATCCTGGCCAGTTTGGCCGCACTTATGCCACTTGCACATTGTTCAATGATGCTTTTCTTAAATTCAATCGTATTTCTCACCTTCTTTACCACAGGCTTGGCACTATGAGCTTTCTTTGGAGCCATGGTAGCTTATTTAGTACTTGCAAGCACTAAAATGAGTGGAATATTATGAAATGTTTCATAGGAGCACGTGAGGGGACCTTCGCTCACTGGTAAACAATGCCACACTGGCTGGGTAGGGAGGCCGCCCCGGCTCACACCATACATACGCGTCCTGGACGACCTACTATTCGCGAGTCAACCTACGATTTGCGAGCCCATGTTTATATGAAAATATCCCTATGATTTCCGAAATCTACGATTCCCGAGAACTACGATTATCGAGGGACCACTGTATTAAAATTAAATTCTTTGTTTTCCTGCCAGTGTACAACAGATGCTGATTATTGGTTTCAGATTAATGCAGTATATGTTTTTTCAGGAGGATGATAAAATGACGTTCCACCGGCATCCTGTAGCTCAGAGTACCGATTGCATTCGGGGTAGAGTTGGGTACACCCGGGGCCTTCATGTTTGGGAGATCCACTGGTCCACTCGGCAACGAGGTACTCATGCAGTAGTGGGTGTAGCAACTGATGAAGCTCCACTACATTCACAAGGGTATCAGGTGAGTTGAAATTGCACAAATATAAACAATAGTAAATCCATGCTAAGAATATTTATTATTGCTGAAGATTAATGATGCTCAATGTAGTACATAGGTAGAGAACAAAGACAGTCTTATCAATGTGTTTATGATTTAAGGTTCAAAGACTGGAAACCTCCTTGTATCAGTTTTAGAAATGAGCTTAGAATAAATGAGAGTGGAATTTCCAGAGAGAACTGCTATAGCCATTTTAGGAATGATGTAAAATTACAGGATTTAAACAATTGTTGCAATTGTGAAACACTAATGAATTGAATTGGAGAAAATTATATTTCCTTGAGATTCTTGGAGGATGTTCACCAGCTAGTGAGGGTTACTAATTATTTGTACCAACTACAGACATAAAAGGACAAAATATAATGAAGGTATTTAAGTTGGACCTTGACTACTGTGTTATTTAGGGGGTGGAATATGGTGTGGGGCTGGAGAGAAAATATAATGTTCTCAGATATATAGTGGAGTGGGAGGGAGGTAAGAGAAAAGGAGAGAAAGGGTAAGGAAAGAGAGGGTCTTCACGTTATTGTACAGTACATTGTTTTTTAATATCAATGTTGACAAATGTAGCTCGAGTGCATCTCCAATTGTAACATGAATTATTGTGGAAAAACTGATTCAGTTTACAAATATCCCCCATTTAGGAGAGGAAACTTATGAAGATGTTTCAGTCTGTCCTGGACAATTATCAAAGTACATGTGAACTATGAACTTGACAGTGACCCAAGATGAAGTGAAGCATCATCATTAGTTTCCTCTTTTTAATTGTTTGTTACAGTGGACCCCCGCATAACGATCACCTCCGAATGCGACCAATTATGTAAGTGTATTTATGTAAGTGCGTTTGTACGTGTATGTTTGGGGGTCTGAAATGGACTAATCTACTTCACAATATTCCTTATGGGAACAAATTCGGTCAGTACTGGCACCTGAACATACTTCTGGAGTGAAAAAATATCGTTAACCGGGGGTCCACTGTATTTGCAAATTGTTCCATTGACTTTATTCTTTATACGTTCAGTGTTCCAAATAATTGACTTAAAAATTTCAGGAACACTTTAATGTCATAAGTGGTGACCTGTAAACTGTATTAATATGACAGTGTAACTTGGCTCTTACTTTAGTGTTTAGATGATATTACTAAAATAAGTTTTGTGGGGTGTTACTTATAGGTTTGATCATATAACTGTTAGTACTGTTGCAATGCATCTTGGCTTTGATATTAGATATTCATATACGTACTAATTTTTTTTCTCTTGGCAGAGTTTGGTGGGCAGCAATGACCAATCATGGGGATGGGATTTAGGACGCAATAAATTGTATCACAATGCTAAACAAGGCAATTCCGGCATTACATATCCTTCACTTTTAAACAATGATGAGACTTTTGTCGTTCCAGATAAATTTTATGGTACGTATTTCCCATATGTTAAAAATACTTGTTAATGTAAAGTTACTGTTTCTGTAACAATCAATTTTTTCTTTTGCTTGCTGCGTCTCGCCTTCGGCAGGGAAATTGAAGAAAGAAACATTCACTATCACCTCACAACCAACCTCTCCAGTAGGTCACAGTTGTGATCTAGTGTTGAGCCATTTTTCCCCACTTTGTGAGCACATGTACTCCACTTTTCAGTTGCGTTAATGAAATACGTAATTTTACTTTTCCTTATCTGAATACTGATTGTGTATGATTCATAGCCTTCAGTAAGCATAACTTTTCCTTTCAATCATTGTCAGTCAGTTTTGTTGTTCACTTTACCTTACAACACATTTAAGGATGAAAAAGGAAGAAATGTGCAGAACATCATCACCCACCAAGTAGGTGTAACACTGGCACACGCTAACCCCTATACCTAGAATTAACAGAACCCCAATAATTAGTTATTTTTCATGTTATTTCTTTCACAGTATTGTGAAATTTGAGTTTCGATACAAGTGTTGTTCTCTTGTAACAGCCTGGTTGATCAGGCCCTGATCCACCATGAGGCCTGGTCACAGACCAGGCTGCGAGGGTGTTGACCTTCAAAACCCTCTCCAGGTATACTCCAGGTGTTGTAACTCCTACAGTGAATTAAAATACTATTCCAACACTTGATTCCCATTTGCTTTTAGCATCTCAATCTAAATCCCATTCACCCCTATAAATTCCTCCTTCCCATATTTTTTCTGCTTTGCTCACTTCTTTCACATATTCTTGACACTTGTCCAAAACTGGTTTCAGCCTCATGTAAAGCACTACATATGGACAAAGGCTCCTTACATCTGTTTTCCTCTTTTCATCTGGCAGTGTTACATTACTTCGTATCTTATGTTATCCTGGCTGTTGCACAGGTAGCTAACTGGTCAAATAGGCAGTTACAGCAACACAAATATAACAAAGATTGGGCATTACAAACAGTGGCTGTCCTAAGCCATGCCTGAATGGCAGCTCAAAATTACTATAAAAGAGCAAATAAACTGGGTATCATAATTAAACTATAATATCACCTTAATAACAAATAAGATAAAAAAAAAAGATTGGTAACTGACCATGCTAAGATGCCTTAACCCTTTGACTGTTTCTGTCGTATATATACGTCTTACAAGCCAATGTGTTTGACGTATATACTCAAAAATTCTAGCAGCTTCAAGTCAAGCAGGAGAAAGCTGATAGGCCCACATGTGAAAGAATGGGTCTGTGTGGTCAGTGTGCGCAGTATAAAAAAAATCCTGCAGCATGCAGTGCATAATGAGAAAAAAAAAACTCCAACCGTGTTTTTGGATTAAAATGCCAACTTTGAGGTGTATTTTCGTATAGTATTTATGGTTGTATTCTTGTTTTCTTCATCTCATTTGATAGACTTGAAAACATATTATAGAAATAGAAGTGATTTTGATTGGTTTTCCTATTAAAAGGATCTTGAAATGGAGTCAAAGTAGCAGAAATGTTTGATTTTTGCCGATGTTCAAGAGTAAACAAATGACGTCGTTGACCAATAAATGTCCAACTAGCCATTCCAATACGCAGTCACGAATGGGTTGACATTATTTATACAAATATTACAATATTGCGGTAGTCAGCAAAGCAGTAAATCTTCTATTTTTTGTGTGAATAAAAATTCAAAGTAGAAAGCAAGAGTACTATAACGGGCCTGGCGACGTGACTAATGAACAGAGAAAATATTATTTTAGTGCCAGGAATGTCTACATTGTTCATTCTGGACCCTATTTTGAAACTGACATATTTTTTAATTTGCATGAAATTGGCCAAATTGCCAATTTCTGACCACTTTATTGAGTAGTTGAAATCAGTAAATGGGCAGTTTCTTGTACTCAATTGATAAAACAAATGGAGTTCTAAAGAAATAGCTATGGATTTGGTCAACTGGAACAATGGAATTGGCCGAAAATAGGGCTCAAAGTGGGCAACATCGCCGATGCATAAATGTCGCTGAGGTCGCTAACTTCACAAGAGAGTAATTTCGTAAGTTTCCATCAAATTTGTACTTTTGGTGTCATTATTATTGGGAAAAGGTTCTCTATTATTTCATAGAATTTTTTTTTTTTTTTTTTTATAGATATTTTGCGACATCAGGAGACACTTCAGGATTTGGGGTTGCGACAGTCAAAAGGTTAAAACATGTACAGTGAAACCTCGATTTACGAGTGTCCAAACATGCGAGTTTTTTCGAGATACGAGCCTTCGGTCAGTCAAATTTTTTGTTCTGAGTTATGAGCCAACATCCGAGTTACGAGTGAGCTTCCCCTGCTTCCCGCTCAGCCCACAACCTGCACACCTCGCTTGTTTATCTATGATTTCATGCTTTAATTCCATGGAAATCATCCTCTTTTTCTTCTCAGCACTGTCCTTTACACTTAACTTTCTTAGGACCAATGGTTAGAAAAAAGAAATTTGGCCAAATGTCTGTAAAAAATGTAAGAAAAGCATGAGAAAAATCCTTCCAACCGAGGTAAACAGTGCACTGAGTTGGCAGCATTCTGAAACTTTCATTATTATTATTATTATTATTATTATTATTATTATATTATTATTCTTTCTTTCTTTCAACACACTGGCCATATCCCACCGAGGCGGGGTGGCCCAAAAGGAAAAACGAAAGCTTCTCCTTTTACATTTAGTAATATACGTATACAGGAGAAGGGGTTACTAACCCCTTGCTCCTGGCATTTTAGTCGCCTTTTACAACACGCATAGCGTACGGAGGAAGAATTCTGTTCCACTTCCCCATGGAGATAAGAGGAAATAAACAAGAACAAGAACTAGAAAGAAAATAGGAGAAAACCCATGTATGTGCTTGTACACGTATGTGTAGTGTAACCTAAGTGTAAGTAGAAGTAGCAAGACGTACCTGAAATCTTGCATGTGTATGAGACAGAAAAAAAAAAGGCACCAGCAATCCTACCATCATGTAAAACAATTACAGGCTTCCGTTTTACACTCGCTTGGCAGGATGGTAGTACCTCCCTGGGCAGTTGCTGTCTTACCAACCTACCTAGGAAAAATAAAATTCTTTCTTTCTTTCAACACAACAGCCATATCCCACCGAGGCGGGGTGGCCCAAAAGGAAAAACGAAAGTTTCTCCTTTTACATTTAGTAATATATACAGGAGAAGGGGTTACTAGCCCTTGCTCCCGGAATTTTAGTCGCCTCTTACGACACGCTTGGCTTACGGAGGAAGAATTCTGTTCCACTTCCCCATGGAGATAAGAGGAAATAAATAAGAACAAGAACTAGAAAGAAAATAGAAGAAAACCCAGAGGGGTATGTAAGTATATATATGCTTGTACATGTATGTGTAGTGTGACCTAAGTGTAAGTAGAAGTAGCAAAATGTACCTGATATCTTGCATGTTTATGAAACAGAAAAAAGGACACCAACAATCCTACCATCATGTAAAACAATTACAGGCTTCCGTTTTACACTCACTTGGCAGGACGGTAGTACCTCCCTGAGTGGTTGCTGTCTACCAACCTACTACCTAGGAAAAATAAAATTAACTTCACAAAAAAAAAAAAAAAAAAAAACCCTCCCCATTGCCTCTATGACTTTATAGCAGCTAAAACATATCTTTTAACCCTTTGACTGTTTTGGTCGTATATATACTTCTTACGAGCCAATGTGTTTGACGTATATATACTCAAAAATTCTAGCGGCTTCAGATCAAGCGGGAGAAAGCTGGTACTCCCACATGAGAGAGAATGGGTCTGTGGTCAGTGTGCACAGTATGAAAAAATCCTGCAGCACGCAGTGCATAATGAGAAAAACCACCAACCTTGTTTTTTGATTAAAATGCCGACTGGCATGCTCTCTGCCAATCTCTAAGTACCTTACATTTTTTTAATAAAAGCACTAACCATTTCAAAACTATATCCCCACCTGCTTTTAACATTTCTATCTTTACCCCATCAATCCCAGCTTCTTTACCCCCCTTTCATTCTACCCACTACCCCATGCACTTCCCCCACACTCACAACTGGGTCTTCCTCACTCCTGTAAGATGTTGTTCCTCCTTGCTCTAAACACAAAATCACAGCTTCCCTATCTTCATCAACATTTAACAATTCCTCAAAATATTCCCTCCATCTTCCCGATACCTCTAACTCTCTGTTTAATAACTCTCCTCTCCTATTTTTAACTAACAAATACTTTCATGTCAACAAATGTATTTTGTTTCTTTTTTTGTGCTCTAATTAACATAACCTTATTTTTTAACAGTTGTTTATTACACCTTAATTTGAGTTCATATGTAGTTTAGTTTGAATAACAGTAGAGCAAAACCTCTCATTAACAGATCTTACATTAAAGGATTCTGGACAAAAAATTTGTTGGACAAACATGGAAATGTTGGACAAACTGGATAAAAGTCTGTAATTCCGTATTTTGTCCATTGGCATGCTTTTTTATTAACGATGTCTTAAATTTTTTAGCTAACACATTCATATGCTGGGGAAGCATCTTGTATACTTGTATAACGAGTTGACATTTATTTGGTGAAGAACTATAAATTTATTATTTACATTGTGTTAGCTGTGAGTGGTTGCCAGGTTGGGGGAGGGGATGGATAGCCACCTAGCCAATGAGGGAGGCAAGAGTCCTGGCAGAGGGGTAAGGAAAGGAGGGTGTATTGGATGACAGCCATGGAGCGAGGCCTTTCCATCTCGTACTGCTTCTCTTCATGTATTAAAAAAAACTCTTGTGTTTTATATATATAAAATGTCAATGATCTGTACTGTAGATTTATTAATTACATTGTGTTAGTTGGGTGGCAGGAAAGATCTGGTGGAGTATTGCTGGTACACCCCTTCTGCCTGCCTGCCCCCCACCCACCACCACCCACCCACCCACCCACCCACCCCACCCACCCACCCACCTACCCACACCCACCACCACCCACCCACCCACCCACCCACCACCCACCCACCCACCTACCCACCCACCCCACCCACCTCCACCCACACCCCCCCTACCCACCCACCCTACCCACCCACCTACCCACCACCACCCCCCTTCCTGCCCTCCCTCCCACCACCCACCCACCTACCCACACCACCCACCCTACCCACCCACCTACCCACCCACCCACCCACCCACCCACCTACCCACCACCCCCTACCCACCTACCTACTACCACCCCACCTACCTACCCACCCCACCTACCTACCCACCCACCTCCCCCCACCCACCCACACACCCACCTCCCCTCCACCCACCCCACCTCCCTCCCACCCACCCCCCCCCACCCCCCCACCTACCTACCCACCCACCTCCCCTCCCACCCACCCCACCTACCTACCCACCCACCTACCCCTTCACCTACCCACCCACCCTTCCTCACCTACCCTCCACCTACCCACCCACCTCCCCTCCCACCCACCTACCTACCCTACCTACCTCCCCACCCACCTACCCACCCCCTACCTACCCACCCACCCACACCACCTACCTCCACCTACCTACCTACCCACCACCCACCCACCTACCTACCTACACTACCTACCTACCACCTACCTACACTACTACCTACCACCACACCACTTCTACCTACTAGCCTACCTACCTACCTCCCACCCATTCTACCTAGCTAGCTACCTACCTACCCTTCTACCTACCTAGCTACCTACCTACCTTCACCCATGCCCACCTTCACCTGCCTACCTACCTACCCTCCTACCTGCATACCTCTACCCTTACCTAACCCACCCACCTGCCTACCTGATCACCTACCTACCTAAACCCATACCACCTACTCCTACCCCACTCTACCTAAATCACCTACCTACCTACCCACCCCTACCTACCTACCTACCTACCTACCTAACTACCTACCTACCTACCTACCTACCTACTTGCCTACCTGCCTGCCTGCCTGCCTAAACCCACTCACCCACTTACCTGCCTAACCACCCACCCACACCACCTGGGTGTGTGTGTGTGTGTGTGAGTGTGTTTTTGTGAACCAGGTGTCATTGGATTGCATTGGGTCATAAGACAATTTGGATAATGGAGAGTGTCTTCATGCTGCAGATATGCAAGAAACTAGAAGGAAAGAAATATGAAAAGCTAGATAGGCATAAGAAAAAAAGACAGTATCTGGAAATGGGATATTTTTGAAGGTTAATCCCTAAAGCATGTTTAAACAGTTATATTTTTCAGTGTGTTCTAATACTGGCTTTGTCTCTTACAGTTGTTCTTGACATGGATGAGGGGACGTTGGCATTTGTGGTAGAGGGTCAGTACCTGGGTGTAGCATTTAGAGGTTTGAAAGGAAAGAAACTTTACCCAATAGTCTCTGCTGTGTGGGGGCATTGTGAGATCACCATCAGATATATAGGTGGATTAGATCGTAAGTAATTGATTTTGACTTTTAATTTACACCAAGTAGTATATTAGGAAAAATTTTTTACAGCATTAAAATCTATGTATATTCTGATGGAATAACATATTGTTGTAATAATAGAATAATGTTTTGGGTATTAAAAAATGTAACAAGCTTATCCATTTTCAGCTGAGCCTCTACCACTGATGGATTTGTGTCGACGTGTGATAAGACAGGCAGTTGGGAAACAGCGACTTTCTCGAATTGAAGAATTAAATCTGCCACCTTCAATCACACAGTACCTTTTATATCATGACCGTAGGTGATAGTTTGAGACAGCTGGTCACCCTTGTACCCCCCCCTCCAACACCAACCACCAGACCTCCCAGCCCCGCATCCCGCAGGCTCAGGCAAAGGGAGACGCTCTGCATCAAGTTGAATGATGGCGGCATGTGAGATAAAGCGTCTGCATCATCAGTTGTTTGATAATCAAAACATCCTGTTTTTGAGATGTTATTAAATTACTTGTGCCATATGGCATATTTAGTTTACCAGCATAATTTCATGCTGAAATTTGTTTCCTAATGGAATTTTAGCAGGTATTGAATCAGTGTAGGCAATTTCATTTAGATGGCCGAGACCACTGGCCTTTGAAAAATACTGCAGGTAGACGCAGTAAAATGCATATGCGGGACTTTTAGATGTACATTTGTGTCTGTGTGTGTTAGTGTGGCCATGAGCCATTGTGATAGACCAGGTCAGACTGGCATGCTGCCCCCACAGCCACCCCACTCAGGTACCCAGCCGGGAATAGTGGCAATGGAAAGAGGCAGCACCAGTGTTATGCATGGACATTGTGACAAATGCATGGAAAGTTGCATGAGAAATCAAGAAAATGAACTTTACAAATGTGTGATGTTTCTGCTACAGACTATTGTTGAAAATAGTGAAAGTGAAAACTTTTATTAGTGAAATGTGGTGGGTGGCATCCGTCTGACCAACAAGCCGACTGGTGAAGTGTTCATTGCAGGCCAACCTTGCATCTATCCTCGTCGCCTCTCTCATGTTTGTTCTGAAGACTTAGTAGTGTAAAATCGAGAGAATAGGCACTAGCACTGCAGTGGTGCTGGTTGGTTCAAGGGTGAATAGGGAGGTTATTATTGTATTGCCCCTAGTCCTTACTCTAAATCTTTGGCTCTGCCATGGAGGCTTCACTGTTTTTATGTCTTTTTTACACAGTTATTTAATGTGAAAAAAAAAGAAACTTGTCCATTACCAATTTGTGAGATGGCCATTTGGGGGCTCTGTAGTTTCCATCTTAACCCAAAACTGACTTAGTTGCTGGTTATCTCATGCAGTTCCCTCATTGTATTGTATGCTTAAGTATTTTTTTTAAAAAGTGCCATTTGCAGTAAGACTATGGTAGGACTGTGTCAAGAGCTCAACCAACCAGCATGACACAGCATCAAGATCTACTGTTCTAGTGTGTTCTTATACTGCAACAACTCTCACCTAGTACACAGCATCTTTGTACAAAAATATTAAATATTAATTACATTCCATTGTGTTATTCTTCCTTCTTTTGTATCGATGGGCAGCACTGATCATTGTGTATGATAATCTTATTCTTCAATGGATCACAACTGAGTAAAGTTGAAAAAGTTAACTGAATAACAATCATTAACTATGAATGAAGCAGCATTGCCTCGATAAATATGGAAATCAAAATAGACAGTTGTTTGAATCACTAACATCATGGATGATCAAAAGAAGTATCAATAGTTATTTTATATGTATTAACAGTATTTTTACCTTATCAAAGAGAAGGTTATTTTAACTTGGGACCCTGGGATGGCAGCTCCTTTACAATCCTTTTGGTAGTGGCTGTGCTGGGTGGGCTTCAAGTTTCTCCAGGGTAGCTCTGATCTATAGAGGCTAAGCTAAGCATTGTCCTGTCCATTTACCATGCACTGACCCATGTACCCCTTGCTTTGGCATGCCTAGTTTAGCCAGCCCTTAAGAGTTGCATTTTTGGGCTTACACCCTTCAATGGAGGTTCCTTGGTGTGGAATTATAGTCACCCAAATGATCTTGACAACAGCAGGCTCATGGGGTCGCTACATTCCCAGCACAACTGTGTACATTATCTTCCATTCATCCAGGCACTGTATGACCCCTACAGGTACCTCCTCCCCAGCTCCTTCACTAACATAAATGTAAATGGTTTTCTACCCATGATTTTGTATTCATATTGTTTCTTGATTTCCAGTGAATACACCCTCTGTCTCTTGTACATTCCAGATTTGAAGGGCTCTTTGGAATTCCTGCCTTGTTTACAATTTCATGCAGATTACACAATGTTTTCATTCTTCAGGTATTAGCAGTGGAACTTCACATGGGGCCACTCTCTGACTTTCCAGGATTCCATCTCCTTCCTACTCTCCCGGTACTCTTGCTCTGTACACCTCTCTTCTGTCACTCCTAAAATTCCTGAGACTTCCTCCCCATTTCTGAATTGATGTCCAGGATCTTCTTCCACTGCCCCTATGATGAATGTCTTAATAATACAAACTCCTTACAGTCTCCCATTATGCCCCACAACAATAAATTACATTCTACAGTAGTATCTTGAACACTCACTGAAGGTCAGGAACAAAAATCTCGCCTATAGCCCCTTATTTGGAGGTACTCCTGCCCTCTTTCCTCTGTGTAGCTCTGCATGAAGCTGACTGTAGAAAATATTTTAATAGTTTGCCCATGGTTTTGGCTTTTCTGCATTCATCATGGGTTCTATAATTACCAAGGTGCTTGTGGGGATCTTGTGAACTTCAAGGGGATTTTTTTGTTATTAACTTAATGAAGCTTTCATTGATGCTGGTTATTTTAATTTGGTATGGCTATTTATTATGTTATTAATTTTTTCTTTGTTTTTATTGTATTTGTTGCATATAATTTTTTATTACTGAGAATGCTGAGTGACCTTCATGACCAGGTGCTCTTTAAATGTCACAACTACTACTACTATTACATACAGTATAACTACATTTCCAGCAAATTAAAACAGTAACCTAAGCAGCCATATGACAGGATGTAGTCCATTTGTTCATCTACTTTTATCAACTCATTTGTTTCATTTTAACTCCATTGTCTATGCCTGTTGCAGACACTTAAAATAAAACAAATTCTTAGTATTATATTTTATACCTACACAACAGTTACACTAAACATTGCAATATTTAGTTTTTATAATACAGTGGACCCTCGACCAACGATGGCATCGACTAACGATAAAGTCTGGTAACAATGCGTTTTTGCATAAAAATATTGGCTCGACCAACGATGAAAAACTCAGGTAAGGACATTTGTCCCGAATGCGTCTACCTGTCCATCCAGCCTGAGTGCCTCAACTGTCTTGCCTTCAGCTAGTGTGCCATTGTTTACAAGCCAGGGCAGACGGTTCCACACATACGTTCGATACATTTTGTATTCCATTGCTTTTAGTGTTTGTAACTGCTAAATAAGCCACCAGGGGCCCAAAGAAAGCTTCTAGTGCCAACCCTGTGGTAGAAAGGGTGAGAAATACTATTGAAATACTATCGTACCATGGTCAGCTGCTGCTGTACCACTGTCAGCTGCTGCTGTACCACTGTCAGCTGCTGCTGTACCACTGTCAGCTGCTGCTGTACCACCATCAGCTGCTGCTGTACCAGTCAGCAGCTGCTGTTGCTGCACCACCATCAGCTGCTGCTGCACCACTGTCAGCTGCTGCTGTACCACAGTCAGCTGCTGCTGCACCACCATCAGCTGCTGCTGTACCACAGTCAGCTGCTGCTGCTGCTGCACCACCATCAGCTGTGCTACTCGATGAGGAGAAAGTGTTGTTGGTGTGGCTTAATGAGAAACAATTAACCCCAGAGGGTTAGCCACCCAGGATAACCCCGGAAAGTCAGTGCGTCATCGAGGACTGTCTAACTAATTTCCATTGGGTCCTTAATCTTGTCCCCCAGGATGTGACCTACACCAGTCGACTAACACCCAGGTGAACAGGAAAAACTGCCTGGAACTAGTGCTCATATTGGTGAATTTAAGGTCAGCAAAGGTTGGTTTGAGAGATTTAAGAATCATAGTGGCATACACAGTGTGATAAGGCATGGTGAAGCTGAAAAATTCCAACCTCAACAAGTGTTCAGTTGTGACGAAAGAGGCCTGTTCTGGAAGAAAATGCCAAACAGGACCTACATTACTCAGGAGGAAAAGGTACTCCCAGGACACAAGCCTATGAAAGACAGGCTAACTCTCATGTTTTGTTGTAATGCTAGTGGGGATTGCAAAGTGAAGCCTTTACTCATGTATCACTTTGAAAATCCCAGAGTGTTCAAGAAAAAGTGTCTCATCACTCGTCAATTTATGTATTTATTGTGCATATCTCATTGTTTCTTTGTATGGAAATGTATATTTCACGTAAAAAAAATAATTTTTTTATTACTTTTGGTTGTCTGGAATGGATTAATTAGATTTCCATTATTTCTTATGGAGAAAATTAATTCGGCTAACGATAAATTTGGCTAAGGACAAGCTCTCTGGAACGAATTAAAATCGTTGGTCGAGGGTCCACTGTATATGTTTCAAATTATTTATTAGAACTTAAATGCTAAATTTTAATTTAAAGAAAAATATAATGAACTGTTAAAGAGTACTAATGATATTTGCATTTATTGAATTTTATGCAAGTTTTTGTTTTTAAATATTAAAATTATATTTCCATTAGTCACAAAAGAATGACCCTCTGTATAAAAACTCGCATTTTGACTGTACTTTTCTCTGCCTACTTCTAGTATTAACTTAATTTCTTAAGACTTTTTTTTTAGATTCTGAATCATTAATAACCTGTGTGCACTAATGATTTAATAGGGTCATTCTTCACAGATGACCAATGACCCATGCATAATGTTAGTGTGACACTGGTCATTTGGCTGTTCTTTTAAACAATTCAGTTTAATATAAAAAATGCCCTGCAAGATCTTTGTGATAAAAATTCTTTATCTCTTGTTAATAATGTAACTTATTTAGGGCATTTATATAAGTGAGCTCTTATCTTTTCAATTTAATTATTATGCTTACAAGGAAGCTTTCTCTGTTTATTGTACATTTAATGCTCTTCAACATTATTTGCTCTTATAAATTTTCCTCTTATACCTGATACGTGTAGCATTTTGTAAGTTATATACAGTACATACTGAGTTTATGAAATGTAAATCTGTAAAAAATATGAACTGTTTTAAAACAATTATACTAGAATCTAATATAGTATATGCAAAGCTATTTAGCAGTCAGTCTTACACAAAATAGTTTAAGTTATAGCTAATAACTCTAGCTAAGTAAAGTATGTCAAATACTCATACATGACACTTGTTTATAACCTCTCTCACTACTGGCTACCAACTGACTGCAGTGTATTCTTTAGCTGAGTGATTTAAACTAAAGTTAGAACATAGTACATGTTCAAACAAGTAACAGGGTTGTTCTAATTTATACTTAACAGCTTCCATATACAGTGGACCCCCGCCTTACGAATGCATCGCCTTACGTTAAATCCGCCATACGAAGCATTTGAATGCAAAAATTTTGCCTCGCCTTACGTGATTCGTCCAGGACGCATCCCACGCGTGGCCTCAGCTGCCTCGTGGGTGCCCGTGTTTACAAGCCAGCCAGTGCGGTTGCATCTAAGCACACTATTGGTACATTTCATATTATCAGTGTTTTTAGTGCTTGTAGCTGCAAAATAAGTCACCATGTGCCCCAAGAAAGCTTCTAGTGCTAACCCTGTGGTAAAAAGGGTGAAAATTACTATGGAAATGAAAGAGATAATTACTAAGTACGAAAGTGGAGTACGTGTCTCGGAGCTGGCCAGGTTGTATACCAAACCCCAATCAACCATCACTACTATCTTGGCCAACAAAACGACAATCAAGGAAGCTGTTCTTACAAAAGGTGCAACTTTGTTTTCGAATAAGAGATCGCAAGTGATAGAAGATGTTGAGAGACTGTTATTGGTGTGGATAAACGAAAAACAGATAGCAGGAGATAGCATCTCTCAAGCGATCGTATGTGAAAAGGCTAGGAAGTTGCATGACGATTTAATTAGAAAAATGCCTGCAACTAGTGGTGATGTGAGTGAATTTAAGGCCAACGAAGGTTGGTTTGAGAGATTTAAGAATCGTAGTGGCATACATAATGTGATAAGGCATGATGAGGCTGCCAGTTCGGACCAAAAAGCGGCTGAAAAATATGTGAAGGAATTCAAGGAGTACATAGACAGTGAAGAATTGAAACCTGAACAAGTGTTTAATTGCGATGAAACAGGCCTGTTATGGAAGAAATTGCCAATCAGGACCTACATTACTCAGGAGGAAAAGGCACTCCCAGGACATAAGCTTATGAAAGACAGGCTTATTCTTGTGATGTGTGCTAATGCTAGTGGTGATTGCAAAGTGAAACCTTTATTGGTGTATCACTCTGAAACTCCCAGAGCGTTCAGGCAAAACAATGTCCTCAAG